TAAGTTACCATTTAACAAAGCAGTTTATGAATACAATATATCTTGATCAATACTGACATTTGATGATATAGAAGAGAAATTTAAACCAGCAGGGCATTTGATCCTCTAGCAATGACTAGTGTTCATATGAATTGTGTGTTGACTTGTTTTCATTTTTATGCTTGAGTACTGAAGGACTGTTTTTATTTTATTTTAACCCTGGGATTCAAAATTTTCAGCAGAATGTGGCTATAAGTTGATATGGTTTGGAAAACAAATTAGTTCTTTTAAAATGTATCTCTCATTGTTACGTTTATTTACATTCTTCACTTGTATTTTCTCAGAAACAATTACAACTAGATTTTTTTTCTTTTGTCCAGATCTAGAATGTTTTTTTCATCTAGTGACCTTACAAGGATATTACCCTCTGTATCAATTATTTATCTGTATCAATGATTTATTTCCACTGTGTATATCTACTTTCCCTCTTTTCTTTGGTGGCAGCAATTTCCTTCCATAGCAGCAATACTATTCTTCATTGTCAGCATCCAGGTGTTGCTCCTTTTTTTCACCTGTATTTTAGTGTGTGTGTGTGTGTGTGTGTGTGTGTGTGTGTGAGAGAGAGAGAGAGAGAGAGAGAGAGAGAGAGAGAGAGAGAGGGAGAAAGAGAGAGAGGGGGGGGGATCCTGGGGCTTTAACTCCGGGCCAGGGCCCTGTCCCCAAGCTGTTTTACTCAAGACTAACACTCTACCACTTGAGCTACTACTCCACATCAGGCTTTTTGGCAGTTAATTGGGGATAAGAATCTCGCAGACTTTCCTGGCTGGGCTGGCTTTGAACCATGATCCTCAGATCTCAGCCTTCCAAGTAGCTAGGATTACAGTTGTGAGCTACTGGTACCCAGCTGAAAACCATTTTTGAATGCTGCAGAAAGTCATCTTTAGAGTACTAATGTTCTTTGCAACTTGAGCATGCTTTTATAATTCCATATTCAGTACTTCTTAGAAAACTCATCTGTTATCTATATTCCTAATAGTCTAAAACTCTAACTAGACTTACTGAGAGAGAGAATGAATGGATTGACCTTGGCCTTGCTCTCAATCTTCTTGTTTTATAGTAAATATCCTCTTTTAGATCTCAAATCATGTGGCTGGTTGATGTTTGTAGGCTCTGACCATTTCTAATGGATGAGAAAAATTTGATTTAAAGCCATTTTCTCTAGTGTCTCATTCTCTGTTGATTTTCTATATAGTTATGAAGAACTCTAGTAGCTAGAATGCAGTATTTAAGATTATTTTAGCCCTCAATCTGCTTTTCTTCAACTGAAATTTTCAGGGTGCAGTACCTCCCTTCTTCCCAATATTTTTAAGGAAAAAAAGCATATAATCAAGGGTAGGGCGCCCCTTCTGCCTCAGAAAATATGTATCGCCATTAATAATAGCACTGCCTGGGTTTTGACTGATAGGGTTTTTTTTTTCTTTTCATTTCTGTACAAAATATTGAGAGGGTCAAGAAAGGGAGACACAGAGGGAAAGGCTTTGGCTTGATTCTCATCACTTCTCAACAAAAAATAAAAAAATAAATATATAAAAATATTCTTTTCCTGATGTTAGGAATTCTCCCCTGATTCTAAAAACAGGTTTTGGTAGTACCATACAGCTTTGTTTATCAATCCTCTTGGCGACACTTTAGAAAGAGCTTATCCCAGGGACTGGGCTGCAAGTTATCCGGAACTCCACAGATAAAGTACTCTTCATGTTGCAAGATACTGGCAAATTTTGCTTCCTGCTGATACTTTGTGGAAATAAACTCTGCCTTGTAAATATTCATCACAAGTTGTTATTCAATGACGGAGGCATCAGAGCTCCTATAATAGAATCCAGGTCTTTGGAAAACTGGGTCTTTTTAGTGGGGAAATAAAATGTAGATGTTTAAGCAATGCTAAAAATTCCAATGACTTCTATAAAATTTTATTATCCATAAAACCTGCCTGATCGCTGCCTGCTAACCGTAGTCAGAGCTGAAACAGCTGTTATATATCATTTAATAAAGGAGTTGCAAATCTAGTTGCCTCCAGGCATCCAGGTAAGTAAGACAAATGCATGACGTTCAGTACAAGAAGGAAAGGGAAGGACTAGGGGAAAAGTAGAAATGACTTGTGCTACCAATCCTTTGAGACTCCATTATAGTTTTCCCTTAGACAGACTGAACTAAGGAATAGTATCAGATTTGAATAGAATTAGGAGATTCTATAGTATTAATCAGAATCAACCACTCAATTTGCACCACCCAATGCAAAATAAAATAGGATATTGCTTGTTCCAAAATCATCAAGAATTTCAAAATGGGAGACAACAAAACATTAAATGAGGCAGGACCCTATAAAAGCACATAAGACATATATGCTCATGTAATCATGACCTTGTAGCTCTCACTTCTGATCTAGAACTTTTTCACCAAAGAAATAAACCCATAGACACTCACACACAACCACCAAGAGATAAAAGTCTTATTGATTTTATTTTGTTGTATTTAAGTAGTTGTACATAGGAGTTGCCATTCAACAGAGCAGTTTATAAGTGCAATGCATCTTGATCCATGTCACCTGTTCACCATCCTCACCCATCCCTTACAACCCACGCCTTCCCTCATTTTTCTTAATTTTGTAAGATATAAGTAGAATTTTGACTGCGTTCTTCCCCCCTTCTTCTCTTCATTTTTCTACCTCCTGCCCATTGACACCATCCCTCCCATTTCAAGTATCCCTTTCCTGGTGTTTATTTTGTTGAACTGTGATTTTTGCCTTTCTAAGGACTTACACTGAGTTCTTCCCTGAATCTACTGCATTTCAGTTACTACATCTGCATATATATGAATACCACTCAATGTATTTACTTACATATTGATAGTATAATTCTAGCTACCAAGTATCAGAGAAAACATGCAATATTTGTTTCTCTGGGCCTGACTAACTTCACTTAACATAATTCTTTCTAGATCCTTTCATGTCTTTGCAAATAATTCAATATCATGCTTTCTCATGGATGTATACAATTCCTTTGTGCACATATACCACAGTTTCTTGATCCATTCATCTATTAAGGGGTATCTGGGCTGATTCCTTGCCTATGGTGAACAGTTTTGTAGTAAACATGGTTGTGCTGGTGACATTAATATATTCCAGTTTGTAATCATTCAGACAAATGACAAATAGAATTGCTAGGTCATAGGGTAGTTCCATGTTTCGTTTTTTGGCGTCACTTCCATACTGGTTTCCAGAGTGGTTAGACAAGTTTACACTCCCACTTATATGTGAGGCTTCAGAGTCTTTGCTTTTTTACATTGTTTGGGAGTTTTGTTGAAACACTCTTGTTTCTATTTCTCCTGTCAAATTCTCAAATTCAGGTATTATGTATACTTAGTCCAGTGTTTTCCACCTTGAAGTTAAAAGTTCTCTAAAGTTAATTCTGACTTGAATTCTAGAATGTTGAGTAGCTGCACCCAAGAACAGACCTTTGTGTCAAAATCTAAGTGTGCTTGTATATACTGCAGAGGTGTCCACATGGCTTCCTTTTTCCTGAGTATAACTGTTATTGCCTTTAGGTGGTTCTGTATATAATCTGGAACATCTAATAAAATCACCATTCATTGATTCACTGTTACCTCAGCGAAACTCTGTGTGTGTGTGTGTGTGTGTGTGTGTGTGTGTGTGTGTATGTGTGTGTGTGTGTGTGTTGGTACTGAGGCTTGAATTTAGGGCTTGACTAGTATCTCTTAGCTTTTCCCCTCAAGGCGAGTGTTTTACCATTTGAGCCACAGCTCTACTTCTGGCATTTTGGTGATTATTTGGAGATAAGAGTTTCTATGATTGGTCTGTCTGGGCTGGCTTCAAACTTCTATCCTCAGATCCCAGCCTCTTCAGTAGCTAGGATTATATACATGATCCACCAGCACCCCACTTCTTATGGGGCTTGCAAGCACTTTCTTCTGGTCCTAAATGGGCTAAGGAATTTCTCCTGTGTTTATCTATGATTTATAAACCAAGTCCCACTGACAGCATAATCTGAGGAATTTTTACATGGCTTGCAAGCATCTTCTTCTGGTCCTAAATGTGCTAGATCGTTTCTTCTGGGTTCACCTATGATTTATAATCCAAGTCCCACTGACAGCAAAACCTCAAAAATGTTTTTTAGTGACACCCAGCCAGTTTTAATCTGTTCATATTTTTAAAAAGTTCAAGAATGTAAACTAGTAACTGAGCACTAGGGTAAAATACTTCCCAGTAATAAAATATATACATAAACTTATATCTCTTATATTTTAAAATATTTAAAACATTTCAGTTCTCTGAAATAAAAAAAAAATACTTAAAACACTTACCTCATTAAAAGACTGAGTCTACCAATGAGACCTACATTTTAGAATGGCATAATATTGGTTTTCTATAGCTAATAATTTGACATTCCTTAGAGTTGCATGAGTCTCCATAGCAACAGCCACTAAAATTTTTTTAAAAAATAGGGTAAACCAAAGGAGGAAGCTGCAATGCTTGGTAAGAAATGTACGCATTATCCTGCCCATGTAATTGTAACCCCTCTGTACAGTATGTTCACAAATAAAATAAAATTAAATTAAAAAAACAAATTTTAAAATATTGAAGCTTATAATTTTCAAGCAAACAACAAACTTCAGTTAAGTCACTAATACCTGGATTAGCCAATAACTCTAATACATTCATATTGCTTCATGAGTGATTGAGAAGAGAAAGTGTATGTGTTAGATAAAGAAAAGAACAAAAGGGAAAATTCAGAAACTTGTTGAAAAAATGTCTAATATTTGTACTTTAAATATATGCCAAAAGCCATACATGTAAACAAGTATGTGTGCCCAGCTACTTGTCAAGTATAATTCTGGTTTAAGGAGAGGATACCTTCAATGAGCTTTCTCCCCCAAAATAATATTTCAGAATATGCTGTGAAAACTGTAAGCTGAATCTCTTAATTTTTTTTAACCTTCTACAGGTGGAGATTTTCATTTTATGTCTATATATTTTCCTACGCAGTCCGGTTCCTGAAAAAGGTAGGATCTGTCAAATTATTTTATATTATTTTTACATATCTATAAAATATATTCCATTTCTATATGGAAGTATATTATAAGCAATTGAAACAAGTTTCCTGAGGATCATTTGTGTATTTGTATTTGATTTATAGACAATCTTTTGCAGTTACTGCTTTATGATAAATTGTTTTTAGCATATGCTAGAAATACTTTGGAAAATTTTTCCATATAAGGTGTTGCTAAGTCCTATATCCATTGTAGCGGCTTCTTTACTACTTCCACATAGGAACTGTATATAGTCCCACTAGCATTATGGGAGAAGTTAGTTTCCTTATCACACAACTTACAAACACCAGTTGCTGTGATATGGGTAGTAACATTGTCTCTTAACCAGTAGAAATGACAGAGCAATACCACATGCTATTGGACAATTCAGGTCCTTTTGTAATTGTGTCTCATTTCTTCCTATTATGCATTCCTGCATGAATGAGACTCCTTCAAATCTGAAAGGAATTGGTTATGACTCTCATAGTCTTCCTCTTGTGATTTCAGTGCTTGCTTGTACTTTTAATGTTAGGCTGCTTAAACTCAAGATTCAGGAAGACTTTTGCTCTCATAGTTATGCACATATCATTACAATGTTAACTTTGTATGAAATCGAATATTATCTTTAAAAGTATTTACTAGAAATAACCTCCAATATCAATACTATCTTTGTTACAAAAACATTTCTAAAATAGAGCATGTGCAAAGTAGCATGCCTCACTCGTTAATCTTATAAATATTGACATAAACATTTCAAATATGTTTTTATTTTTAAAGTCTTTATTCATCAGATGTTATCTGCCTATGGTAATTTCTCTTATTAATAGTAGTTGTTTCTCATTATTGTAGCTTCCTAGAGGAAATACGCTTTTTACTTATGTGTGTTCCTTTAGTAACTATGTATTTATTTCAATTAATAAGAGCACATGGCCTCCAGGCCAATTTAATGGATTTCTATGAACAAACTTCACACTTAAGTATGAAGAAACAGTCAGCCCAGGTAAATAAGCATGGTAGAAACTGCTTAGTTAAGAAGCCTAGTGCTCTCATTTGCAAACTTGCTTATCCAGGGGAAAAAAAAGAATGGCTGTGAGACGTTTGTGTTTCCATCTTTACTACCTCAGAAAAGGACAAAGGAAATCATTTTGGATAGGAAATCATCTTGTAAATGGTATGCATGCATTGTGAAAAATAGATTATGACATAAAAAATTGACCATATGGTCAAAAGCTATGTACATATGACTATATAACCTGATGCTAAGCAAAATGAACCCCACAATAGGGGCGTAAGAGGTTTTATCTTTGTTGCTGTTGTTTTTAATGTACTTATAATGTACTATGTGATTTTTTTTTGCTTCTTTTGTATATTCTTTCCCCATGGTATAACTCCTGTTTTCCTGTAATTGATTCCAGTGCCTTGCATCTTGTATATGCATTTTTCTAATTTGGGGAGGGGAAGGGAAATAACAAAATGTTGAAACAAGGATACAGGAGGACCCATTGCAACAATGATACTCACAACACACTATGTTGGAAACAAACTTTACAACTTTTGGGAGGTGGGGAGTGGGAGAGGTGAGGGAGGGTAGGGATAGTAGGAGAAAAACAAAGGAGGGGGTAATAATACCCCACAAGAAATGTACTCATTACCTTACTCATGTAACTGTAACTCCAATGTACAGCATCTTTACAATAAAATAAAATTTAGAAAAATAAATAAAAATTAAAAACTACTCTAGATGTACTTAAACCCAATTTCTGTATTAGAGGCCCAACAGGTAACAGAAATCATAAGAGGTATTTTAAAAGTTACTATCATGTAACAAGTCATTACCCAGGACAAATCACAGTCTGTGTAGAGCAAGACAGTGGAACTGTCCACTGCTATCATTATGCCATCAGATAAAGAGCCTGCACCTGCAAGTGAATCAAGGCACTACTTCTGTTTGAGAAAGTCCACCTATAAGCCAGTGTGTGTGGATATGATTAACTTACACTTTGGTATAAGTTCCTTTGTCATTGTGGATCAGTGACAACCATTTTGGGGCGAGTTGTTACATTAGCTCTATGCTCAGGTGTTTGGAGGTGGTAATGGCAAAAAGACACTACCATTCTGATGTCCAAAGGATGACAGGGAGAGATTGGAGTTGTCAGAAAGCTGGAAAGAAGAGTTGCGGAGTGTAGTAGGACTGTTGAAGAGAGAATGCCAACCACCTGGTCCCCCTTGGGGCACAACAAGGCTGGTCCTGGAAATGTGGGGCAAGTACAGGCTGGAACTAGCTGCTGCTTCAGGGTCAAAGGGCATTCCTAGGGGGAGGGGTGGCAGGAACTGGAAGCCAAGCAGAAAGGGACAAGTCCTGCCTCCCTCTGGCAGCCTTTTGTTTCCCTTTAGTGCTTCTGCGAAGCCACAGGTGGCAAGCTACAGGTGGAGCTAGCAGAATTGTGGTTTGAAGAGCTACAGCTCTGAGACTACAGCCCACATCTCAGTGAGCAGTCCACCTTCTCTATACTTCTGTCTTCTATGATGTGCTCTGATAACCTACTGTGATCTCTTCATCATCTTTTTAAAAATGTGCTGACTGGTACCCATTTTGTCAACTTTGTGACTAATCACTGGTGAAAATCCGAAGTTCAAAAGTACCTTTGCAGCCTGAGCCCTCTGTCTACAACCCTAGGCCTCCCATATTGCCCTTGAGCCCAGGCCCTATCACTCATGGTACATACGGCATGCTCTTCCAAGGCCACCAAAAACAGCCACAGCATATTCCTTGGTTTCATTTTTCCCCCCTCACTGGTTAGCTTGGAATCTTTCTGAAATAGAAACAGGACTGCCTTTGTTTTTCCTATGTGAAGGTGAATAAATGAAATCTTTATACAGCCCTTAGAATGTATATTCACTCTAAATTTTGTTCTCTGTGGCATTTTTTAAAAAATCTTGAAACGCTTTCGACTATGTCTCTTATTCAAGAGGGCTTAAATTTTACTCTTACCTATAAAAAAGGCCCATCAACTATTTCTGCAAGAAGCACACTTGACAGAATGCTAACATTGGGGAAGCACCCTGAAGCTCAACTATCCCAAACTTCTCATTTCGGGAAAGATAAAGAAGGGTGAACTCACATGCTGAAAACAAAAATAGAAGCTTGTCTGTCGACTCACTAGATCAGTTTATTTAAAAAAAAAAACTTTGAATGACGAGGAAGAGAATCTACAAAATTAAGAAGAGTGAGAGAAGGGATGGTAGTTTCAGGATCAGTGAGAACGTTGAAAGGGGTGACATGGATCAAGATGTATTGCATTCATAAACTGCTTTGTTAAATGGCAACGCCTTTGTACAACAACTTAAAATAATAAAAAAAAAGAAAAGAAAACAAGTTTCAGCAAGCTAACACGTTAAGTATTTGTTGCTTTTTAATAGAAAGTTTTCCTTATTAAGAATTATGTTACAGGGCTGGGAAGGTGGCTCAGTGGTAGAGCACTTGCCTTGCATACATGAGGCCCTGGGTTTGATTCCTCAGTACCACATAAGCAAAAAGAAAAAAGCCGGAAGTGGCACTGTGGCTCAAGTGGTAGAGCGCTAGCCTTGAGCTGAAGAGCTGAGGGACAGCGCCCAGGCCCAGAGTTCAGGCCCCACAACCGGACCCCCCCCCAAAAAAAAGAATTATGTTACATTAGTGTAAGGAGAACATCTAGATAGAAGTCAGGCTTGACTTTTCAGTCTTGACTTGGCAAATTATTCTGCATTGTATTTACATTCAGGTACAAATATGCTTTGTTCTCTGAAATTGTATTGTCCTTGCTCGTTTTTCTTGTAAATGGAAAATGATTCTTGTCCTGAATTCTCAGCTTGTGTGTATAGAACTTTGGAATTTGGACTTTGGAAACACAAGGTATTACACTATGACTTATTGAAAGGAAGGCATGCTTAAAAGTGTGGATACCTACGTCTATTCCTGCTGCCACCTCCTAGACAGTAACACTCTTGTAATCATACCTTGATGCTTCCTAATAAGTAAACATACATTAGGGGGGGGAAATTACCTAGATTAACATTAGGAATTATCCTGCTTCTTACTACATTTTCCTTTCCCCTGCAACCCTGCCTCTGCCCTCTTATGTACTTTTTAATTCCCTTTATTCCTTTCACTTAATTTTTTCTTTATTTCTTTGTGGCTAGAATTCCACCAAAGGAGAGCATTTGGAGGCCACTGAGAAACTCAGCATCGCGTGACATATTGACAGTCCTGGGGAAGGAGTCAAAAGACCTGGGTTTGAGATCTGATTTTGTCATCACCAGGTTCATGAGTAACCCATTCTCTTCATCTCTCTCTGAGATTTAATTATGCTGCCTCTAAAAACCAGTCATGTGGACTAATGTACACTAGTGTTCACTAATGTACACTATAATTTTGAACAGGAGGAAATAAAAAAGATTGACTTCTACTTAAATGGCAACAAGATGCAAAAGTCTGTTCTAAAACGATCTAGGTCTTCTTGCTGACTAGTGTTTTTCCCTGAAAGTTTCCTGTTACATGATTATATTACTCACCTGCCTGGAAACAACCCCACCAGAGACTTTCTAGGGAGCTTTTGTAGTCTCCTGTATGAGTCTGGTAAGAGCCAAACTCTTCCTTTTCTAGTGATGTTTGTTTGTTTGTTGTGAGCTAAGTTTCCCATAGGTATCCCAGGCTGGCCTTGATCTTGTGGTCCTCCTTTCTCAGTCTCCTTGGTGAGAAATCACAGGCCTGTGCCCACATACCTGACTCAAGTTCTACTTGTATAGATGTGCATAGTTGTGTTAGGAAATCAACATTCTTAATTCTCTATAGGATTTTAAAATGGATTTTTCTCATGGTTTTGATCATGTGGAGGCACTGTTGGTTTGGTGAACAGTGTTGGTGAAATTTTAAATCACAGCTAGTAATAAGAGTCATAGTCATAGTAATGATAGGCTCACTATGGTGAGCATTC